AGCTCGAGGCACGGAACGCTTGCCTCTCCTCCAGCGCGTCCAGCCGGGACGTACGAGTCTCCCTCAGAGGCCAGGAGCAGAAGAGCAGGTTCTAGGAGAGGCCCTGGATAGGTCACGCACCCGGAAATTATCTTCTTCACTCGGATATCAAGTCCAATCCCCCCGGGCAGGACCAAGTCCAATCTCCCAGGCAGGACCAAGTCCAATCTCCCAGGCAGGACCAAGTCCAATCTCCCGGGCAGGACCAAGTCCAATCCCCCCGGGCAGGACCAAGTCCAATCCCCCCGGGCAGGACCAAGTCCAATCCCCCCGGGCAGGACCAAGTCCAATCCTTAGGGCAGGACCGTGGGTGTGTTCCCTTGCGGGTACCGATGGCCACCTAGTGTGTGACTTTGCTTCTTCATTCAGACCTCCGCTGTTATGGCCAGGCGTTCAGACCTCCGCTGTTATGGCCAGGCGTTCAGACCTCCGCTGTTATGGCCAGGCGTTCAGACCTCCGCTGTTATGGCCAGGCGTTCAGACCTCCGCTGTTATGACCAGGCGTTCAGACCTCCGCTGTTATGGCCAGGCGTTCAGACCTCCGCTGTTATGGCCAGGCGTTCAGACCTCCGCTGTTATGACCAGGCGTTCAGACCTCCGCTGTTATGGCCAGGCGTTCAGACCTCCGCTGTTATGGCCAGGCGTTCAGACCTCCGCTGTTATGACCAGGCGTTCAGACCTCCGCTGTTATGGCCAGGCGTTCAGACCTCCGCTGTTATGACCAGGCGTTCAGACCTCCGCTGTTATGGCCAGGCGTTCAGACCTCCGCTGTTATGACCAGGCGTTCAGACCTCCGCTGTTATGACCAGGCGTTCAGACCTCCGCTGTTATGACCAGGCGTTCAGACCTCCGCTGTTATGGCCAGGCGTTCAGACCTCCGCTGTTATGGCCAGGCGTTCAGACCTCCGCTGTTATGGCCAGGCGTTCAGACCTCCGCTGTTATGGCCAGGCGTTCAGACCTCCGCTGTTATGGCCAGGCATTCAGACCTCCGCTGTTATGGCCAGGCGTTCAGACCTCCGCTGTTATGACCAGGCGTTCAGACCTCTGCTGTTATGGCCAGGCGTTCAGACCTCCGCTGTTATGACCAGGCGTTCAGACCTCCGCTGTTATGACCAGGCGTTCAGACCTCCGCTGTTATGACCAGGCGTTCAGACCTCCGCTGTTATGGCCAGGCGTTCAGACCTCCGCTGTTATGACCAGGCGTTCAGACCTCCGCTGTTATGACCAGGCGTTGAGACCTCCGCTGTTATGACCAGGCGTTGAGACCTCCGCTGTTATGGCCAGGCGTTGAGACCTCCGCTGTTATGGCCAGGCGTTCAGACCTCCGCTGTTATGGCCAGGCGTTCAGACCTCCGCTGTTATGACCAGGCGTTGAGACCTCCGCTGTTATGGCCAGGCGTTCAGACCTCCGCTGTTATGACCAGGCGTTCAGACCTCCGCTGTTATGACCAGGCGTTCAGACCTCCGCTGTTATGACCAGGCGTTCAGACCTCCGCTGTTATGGCCAGGCGTTGAGACCTCCGCTGTTATGACCAGGCGTTGAGACCTCCGCTGTTATGGCCAGGCGTTCAGACCTCCGCTGTTATGACCAGGCGTTCAGACCTCCGCTGTTATGACCAGGCGTTCAGACCTCCGCTGTTATGACCAGGCGTTCAGACCTCCGCTGTTATGACCAGGCGTTCAGACCTCCGCTGTTATGACCACGGGTTCAGACCTCCGCTGTTATGACCAGGCGTTCAGACCTCCGCTGTTATGACCAGGCGTTCAGACCTCCGCTGTTATGACCAGGCGTTCAGACCTCCGCTGTTATGACCAGGCGTTCAGACCTCCGCTGTTATGACCAGGCGTTCAGACCTCTGCTGTTATGGCCAGGCGTTCAGACCTCTGCTGTTATGGCCAGGCGTTCAGACCTCCGCTGTTATGACCAGGCGTTCAGACCTCCGCTGTTATGGCCAGGCGTTCAGACCTCCGCTGTTATGACCAAGCGTTCAGACCTCCGCTGTTATGACCAGACAGATGTTCCGCCCTCAGATATAAGGGTCAGTGGACCGTTATGTGATGGAGAGAGAGAGAGAGCCCGCAACTTCCACTTGTCCAGACAAGCCTGCTCATACCTGCATGAACACCTGCTCCGGCTGCTGTTGTTGTTGTTGTTGTTGCTACTGCTGTTGTTGTTGTTGCTACTGCTGTTGTTGTTGTTGTTACTGCTGTTGTTGTTGTTGTTACTGCTGTTGTTGTTGTTGCTACTGCTGTTGTTGTTGTTGTTACTGCTGTTGTTGCAGCTGCTACTGCTACTGTTGCTAATGTTGTTGTTGTTGTTGCTACTGCTGTTGTTGTTGTTGTTGTTACTGCTGTTTTTGTTGTTGCTACTGCTGCTGTTGTTATTGTTGTTATTAGTGCTGTTGTTGTTGTTAGTAGTGCTGTTGTTGTTGTTGTTGCTACTGCTGTTGTTGTTGTTGCTACTGCTGCTGTTGTTATTGTTGTTATTAGTGCTGTTATTGTTGTTAGTAGTGCTGTTGTTGTTGTTGTTACTAGTGCTGTTGTTGTTGCTACTGCTGTTGTTGTTGTTGTTGTTACTGCTGTTTTTGTTGTTGCTACTGCTGTTGTTGTTGTTGCTACTGCTGCTGTTGTTATTGTTGTTATTAGTGCTGTTGTTGTTGTTAGTAGTGCTGTTGTTGTTGTTGTTACTAGTGCTGTTGTTGTTGCTACTGCTGCTGTTGTTGTTGTTATTGCTGTTGTTGTTGTTGCTACTGCTGCTGTTATTGTTGTTGTTGCTACTGCTGCTGTTGTTGTTGTTATTGCTGTTGTTGTTGTTGCTACTGCTGCTGTTGTTGTTGTTGTTGTTGTTATTGCTGTTGTTGTTGTTGCTACTGCTGTTGTTGTTGTTGCTACTGCTGTTGTTGTTGTTGTTGTTGTTGTTGTTGTTGCTACTGCTGTTGTTGTTGTTATTGCTGTTGTTGTTGTTGCTACTGCTGTTGTTGTTGTTGCTACTGCTGCTGTTGTTGTTGTTGTTGCTACTGCTGTTGTTGTTGTTGCTACTGCTGTTGTTGTTGTTGCTACTGTTGTTGTTGTTGTTGCTACTGCTGTTGTTGTTGTTGCTACTGTTGTTGTTGTTGTTGCTACTGCTGTTGTTGTTGTTGTTACTGCTGTTGTTGTTGTTGCTACTGCTGTTGTTTTTGTTGTTACTGCTGTTGTTGTTGTTGCTACTGCTGTTGTTGTTGTTGCTACTGCTGTTGTTGTTGCTACTGCTGTTGTTGTTGTTGCTACTGCTGCTGTTGTTGCTACTGCTGTTGTTGTTGTTGCTACTTCTGTTGTTGTTGTTGCTACTGCTGTTGTTGTTGTTGCTACTGCTGTTGTTGTTGTTGCTACTGCTGTTGTTGTTGTTGCTACTGCTGTTGTTGTTGTTACTACTGCTGTTGTTGTTGTTGTTACTGCTGTTGTTGTAATGATCTGGGGCTCAGATCATTAGTTCTCCCTTCTCCCCTCCTTTCCTTCTCCTTCTCCCCTCCTTTCCTTCTCCCCTCCTTTCCTTCTCCCCTCCTTTCCTTCTCCCCTCCTTTCCTTCTCCTTCTCCCCTCCTTTCCTTCTCCTTCTCCCCTACTTTCCTTCTCCCTCTCCCCTCCTTCCTTCTCCCCTCCCCTTGGCCATCATTCGTCTCCTCCTCTCCCCCCCCCTGTCGCCCATTTGTCAGGGTCAAGAGGTTGACCTGAGGGTGGTCTTGGATACCTCTGGCTTCCTCCCCCCACTCAACTCCCCACTCAGAATTTCCCTCTCCATCCCCCTCTCATCCCCTCTCTTCCCCTCTCACCGGTCCCTTCCCCATACTAGGCAGAGTCAAATGTCCCTACTCTTTATCTTAGAGGAGACAGCCTTGAACATAATTTATCAGTTTTGTAAACATTGCTCGCAGGTGCCTGGGCTCCATAGAGGCGCCTTGTCTCCCTTCTCTTAGCTGGGGAGAGCTGACTCAATCTTCAGGAATTCATGTAGCTTTACACGACAGATCAGTGAAGGTGATTGGCCTGAGATAAGGGCCAAGTCCTTATTGGCCCTAGAGAGCCAGACCTCAGGCCTACGTGTTAAATGGTTGGCCATTGCCAAAATAATGGGTGGAGCCCTGGGGCTGTAGTAGATGGTGGGAGGAGTAATCCTTCCCAGCAATAAGTTGGAAAAACTAAATTTCATCAGTGTGTCTTGGGAGTGTATTAGGAACAGGGCCGCAAGCCCGTATCCTCGGGGCTGAGGGCAGCCATCAACATCGTGGCCGTAGTGCGGGTATTTAAGGTATAGTAGCTCTTGAGTTTTGTGTCCTCAATAAATATCCATTGTGCCTCTAGGGAAATAGAATAGGTGATGTGTTCAAATTGTCTTAATTTACATGTTTCATAAAATAAATGGTATAGCTTGTCCAGTGGTATTCACTTAACTCCCCTTTTATATATTTTGCTACTTTGTCATTTTTAGGTGTTGTATTGGAAGCCCCCATGTTCTCCTAACAATTAATCGATACTAAAGTTGCCCTTGGTTTTAAATTAGTAACGTATATTACACAAACTAATTTTCCAAAATTTATTTCTGAAATTCATATTACCCGGGAGTCCCATGGTTACTGATTCCTTGCCTTCCTGGGGGATCGGTGATAGACACATTCAGGTATGGTTGGTCGGGAAGGTGGTGGCAGTGTTAATGTGTTTTGTTATTTGTTTTAACTAATAACCCTTGTCCTTGGTGTATCTTCCTCATTTAATATTCCTCTTATATACGGGGCAGTCCAGTGAGGGGTCATGCTGGACTGTAACAGTGTTAAGCTGGGGTATTGAGTGAAGAGAGACAGAGATGTACAACAGAGAGCGTATATTACGATCACGAGAGATAACACGATAACAGGATTAATACTGGGGAACATTGGGTTATTACAATAGAGGCCGCGGTTATTACGACAGGGTAAAGCGGTCATTACAGGTACTTCCTCGGACACGGTTGGTACTTCCTCTGGCACGGTTGGTACTTCCTCTGACACGGTTGGTACTTCCTCTGGCACGGTTGGTACTTCCTCTGGCACGGTTGGTACTTCCTCTGGCACGGTTGGTACTTCCTCTGGCACGGTTGGTACTTCCTCGGACACGGTTGGTACTTCCTCTGGCACGGTTGGTGCTTCCACTGACACGGGTGGTACTTCCTCTGGCACGGTTGGTACTTCCTCGGACACGGTTGGTACATCCTCTGGCACGGATGGTACTTCCTCTGACACGGGTGGTACTTCCTCTGACACGGTTGGTACTTCCTCTGGCACGGTTGGTGCTTCCTCTGGCACGGTTGGTACTTCCTCTGGCACGGTTGGTACTTCCTCTGGCACGGTTGGTGCTTCCACTGACACGGTTGGTACTTCCTCTGACACGGTTGGTACTTCCTCTGGCACGGTTGGTACTTCCTCTGGCACGGTTGGTACTTCCTCTGGCACGGTTGGTACTTCCTCTGGCACGGGTGGTACTTCCTCTGACACGGGTGGTACTTCCTCTGACACGGTTGGTACTTCCTCTGGCACGGTTGGTGCTTCCTCTGGCACGGTTGGTACTTCCTCTGGCACGGTTGGTACTTCCTCTGGCACGGTTGGTGCTTCCACTGACACGGTTGGTACTTCCACTGACACGGTTGGTACTTCCTCTGGCACGGTTGGTACTTCCTCTGGCACGGTTGGTACTTCCTCTGGCACGGTTGGTACTTCCTCTGACACGGGTGGTACTTCCTCTGGCACGGTTGGTACTTCCTCTGACACGGGTGGTACTTCCTCTGGCACGGTTGGTACTTCCTCTGGCACGGTTGGTGTATCTGTGAGGCACAGTAGTGTGGTGGGTGCCCGGCTGGTGGGTATGAATGCCCACATTCCTGACCACACTCGCTGGAGAATGAGTCCGGCCCGACTGTGCAAGACACAGTACCGGCGCAGGACTCGTGAGATCGTGAAAGAGAAGTGTAGCACAGAACCCACAATTACGGTGCGGGGCTTGTAGTGGCTGCACAGTTGCCTGCACAATTACGGTGAGTGGTTGTGGGGACTGCACAGTTACCAGCACAATTAAGGTGAGGGCATGTGAAGGCTGCACAGTTGCCTGCACAATTACAGTGAGTGGTTGTGGGGACTGCACAGTTACCTGCACAATGATGGTGAGGGCATGTGAAGGCTGCACAGTTGCCTGCTCAATTACGGTGAGTGGTTGTGGGGACTGCACAGTTGCCTGCACAATTAAGGTGAGGGGCTTGTGAAGGCTGCACAGTTGCCTGCACAACTACGGTGAGTGGTTGTGGAGGCAGCACAGTTGCCTGCCCTGCGGGCGGTTTAGAGACTGTGTACTGTGAGCCAACTGCGATTCTGACTACCTTTATATATGTATTCTGCCCTAAACAAACGTAAGTAAGGGATGATATATCACTTTATATATATATATATATATATATATATATATATATATATATATATATATATATATATATATATATATATATATATATATATATGCTGTATCCACTACGCTATACTTCAAAGCCATAAAGAGAGGTAGGAATTCTGGGGTATTTAACCAACCAGAATTCCAATCCTCTCCCAGGCGATGAGATAGTGTGGGACCTCGGATGCTCTTTCATCGGGTCCTGTTATATGGGAAAAACTCAGTGCCAAATGCTTAATGCACAGACTACCCTATTCCAGTAGCTGAAGTTTATAACTTTTTAGACACTCAACCCACCAGGGGACTCGAACACTGGCCAACAAGGTGGCAGTTGCATGCTGTATCCACTACGCTATACTTCAAAGCCATAAAGAGAGGTAGGAATTCTGGGTATTTAACCAACCAGAATTCCAATCCTCTCCCAGGCGATGAGATAGTGTGGGACCTCGGATGCTCTTTCATCGGTTCCTGTTATATGGGAAAACTCAGTGCCAAATGCTTAATGCACAGACTACCCTATTCCAGTAGCTGAAGTTTATAACTTTTTAGACACTCAACCCACCAGGGGACTCGAACACTGGCCAACAAGGTGGCAGTTGCATGCTGTATCCACTACGCTATACTTCAAAGCCATAAAGAGAGGTAGGAATTCTGGGGTATTTAACCAACCAGAATTCCAATCCTCTCCCAGGCGATGAGATAGTGTGGGACCTCGGATGCTCTTTCATCGGTTCCTGTTATATGGGAAAACTCAGTGCCAAATGCTTAATGCACAGACTACCCTATTCCAGTAGCTGAAGTTTATAACTTTTTAGACACTCAACCCACCAGGGGACTCGAACACTGAATATGTGAATGAAAACTCACACCCCAGAAGTGACTCGAACCCATACTCTCAGGAGCAATGCAACTGGTAACTACTGGGCGCCT